TTTTACTATTATGTTCTATAATAGAATTAAATGAAAATTTTACGTATGTTAAGATTTTCAGATTTCAACTTCTTGCAACAATGAAAAAAAAACAATTGAGGAAAAAAACTAAAAAAAAAAGAACCTCATTTGGCTTACATGTATGTGACAAGCAAATCTTCAGTAAGTTACTATTGAAGTTCAAACGATCTATTTAGTTTTTAAAAAATTTAAGTTAAGGGGGGCCCCCCCCTTAGAAATGATTTTCCACTTAGCATGGTCCTTTTGCGCTGAAATTTTCCGGGATGAGTGATCCTGGAGAGATACGCTTCCGATAAAAATTTCAGCTCGATTGGTCGCACTAGACCGGAGTTCCAGCGGATTCATAGGTCATTTTTGGCCTTCAGGAGAATCGATATAACTTCGTCACAGCACGAGGTATCGAGCTCGGGCTGGTCTCAAATTAAAGCCAATGTCAGTACGCAACTTTTGTCCGAACAGAATTTTCAAATTCAATCTTATTGATTTTTTATGAGTATTTTAGTGGAAGGGTCTAAAAATCAGCACAAAAAATGGTAATCTAAAGACAGTAAATTCCATTTTTCTCATCGCAGGAATCGACTTTAAAAAAACTGGTCGGACAAAAGTTTACTCTCATTGAGACCTTTAAAACAAAAAAAAAACATCGGTGATCTGCCGAGCCAAGCCGGAGTTATTTCAATTTTTCGGTCTAGAAACCATGTTTTGAGAAAAACGCTAAAGAAGTTTTAGAAATGAGTTTTTCGTTCAAATTCGAAAAAAACACATTAAAATAGCATATTTCCAATATATTTCATCGAACTTTTTTAAAGCGCGTAACTGATGCAGTAAACTAACGCCATCTGACATGCCGCTTAATATATAAAAATATTCCGAACGCAAATTTTCTAAAACTGAAAACCTTTAATACTACGAAAATTTCTCTGAAAACATGGTAGTAGATTTTAAGTTTCATGTGGTAAGTCTTTGAAAATCTGATCATTTTCAAAAAATCTATAGATATTCTGATAGAGGAAGCTTCGCTGCATCTTCCTATAATAAAATCTCAACTTCGATATTTCCCTGAAAAACTCGATTTTCTAAGGGGGGGGCCCCCCTTAATCACAAATATATTCATAATGACGAAAGTCTATCAGTTACAATAAATAAGATTTAATAGATATTTTCTCTCGTTGTAGGTATCGCTTTTGGAGTTAACAGATCTTGTATTAAGCGTGTAAAATAGAAGTTCATACTACTTTTTAATTGTTTGACTAGATTATTAATGTATTTATTCATCCTATAGTGTTTTCTCTTGCTAATATATTTTATGAGATGTACCATGCATACGCATCAGGTAGTCGACATTTTATTCAGTCTTTTTGTTAAACTTAAATAGAGTTCGATCATAGTCTTGGAAACATTCTCTGAACTTTTGACGAAATTGCACATCATTTTAGGTTTTTTCGATTCTGTATAAGTCATTAGCACATAGACATAGCTTGATTTTTCAATAAGTGTTCTCCAATATGCACCAAAATATATCAAATCAGATCTTGTTATTAATCGTCATAACTAACACTCAAAGAATTAAACTAAATAATTTTTTTTAATTTATGTTTATTCTATTAGATTGGCCAAATGTGAGTATTTAATTTATAGCAAATAGGATTTTTCTATTTTTAAATTTGGTTCCACAGCTAGTCCAAATGTAAGTATCAAGTTTTAGAAAATGATAAGATTGTAATCGTCAATTGACTGTGATATACCATCGGCGGGTCATGTTTACTGCTAGTTAACCAAACCTAATCTACGGTTTTTGTCGATACGAGCTATATAAATAATTATTTGTCAATCATAGGATCAAGTATTATAATGTTTATTATACGATTTCTATTCTTGATGGGGTTGCTTTCAATTATCACTTCTGTTGAAAGTTCGATGAATCACATTATTGATGGATCCTTTCATGTTGATTATGATACAGTTAGCGGGATAAGAATAGATTGTTCCATTTTGAACAGCAAGAGTGCAAGCGTATTTATGGTTCAACAAAATATTTTACGATTCAAAGAGAAGCCAGCTCCTTTGCTCATCGTCAATAGTAACACTTTATATATCATACAAACTGAAGGTTCGCGTACATCTGTAACGCTCATTAATAGAATTAACGAACATCACTCAACCTAACTAGAGTAAAATACAATGATTGTAGCATCCCTTCGAACATAGCAAAAATAAATAAAACTCATAGATGGAAACTCACATAAAGATCGTTCAAGATGTTACTAAATCTCACTAAGAATTGGATTCCGTTGGATTCAATGTTTTATTCTATAAGATGCAGTCTTAGACGATGATATATCATTCATTTACGTAAGATAAACTTCTTTTTAACGATACCGTTTTATGCATTTTAACCGTTGCTTCAATACTTATATACCATCAGATTAAAACATTCCATCTTTAACAATCAAAAACAAATTATTTGGATACAAATCACCTTACTAATTGAACTCCTTTCACCAATTAATTAAGTTCAGGGTGTGGGTGTGGGTGTGGGGTGTGCGGTATGGGTGTGGGTGGGTGTGGGTGGGTGTGGGTGAGGTGTGGGCGTGGGTGTGGGCGTGGGTGTGGGCGTGGGTGTGGGCGTGGGTGTGGGGTGGGGTGGTGTGGGTGTGGGTGTCTTCCTCTGTTTCATATTGACACCCACACCCTCATTGTATATTTTCCTCTAAAAATAGCCTGAAATACAGAAAATGTA